TACAGAGACACTCGCTGGAACACCCCAGCAAGCGAGAGTCCAAAAGTGGCAGGCCCAAACCCAGAATCTCAACCAATGGCTGATACCCAATGAGGGATTCCCCCCTGGGCACACAGAAAACTGGGCGACTTGGAAGGCGCTGAACAGACTGCACTCTGGCACCACGAGATGCAGAGCCAACCTTCAGAAATGGGGCCACAAAGTGTAATCCACGAGATGTGAGTGTGGAGAAGAGGAAACCCCTGACCACCTGCTGCAATGCAACCTGAGCCCAGCCACATGCACAATGGAGGACCTCCTTGCGGCAACACCAGAGGCACTCCAAGTGGCCAGATACTTGTCAAAGGACATTTAATCAACTACCAAGCTTGCAAACTCTCGTGTCTTTTGTATGTTTGTTTGTTTGCTCTGTCAAAAATGTAACACAACTGTTTGGTTGCCTGACACGATAAATAAAACTACGATCAGGTGGGACATGGACTTTATTTGCCGAACTCTCCTTGACAGTTGGCACCTGTTGGGACTGAAAAGAGTGTTGCCGCTGCATTATCTGGGTGTGCTGCTTTGGAAGCGCTGCACGGCTCATGCACTATTCATCCCAGTGATTTCTTGGCCACTTGGCCCGCCACCAAAATCTCTCTTTCTCGGTGATTGCAGAAGTGTCAACAAGCCTTCCCTCGAGCACACTCTGCATCTCCAATATGTACCCACAGAAGGCCGCGATGATGGACTTGGCAGGTGACTGGCAGCCCGGAAGATCAAATCACTGTCTGTTCAGGAACAAGGAAAGGAAGAGAAGGCTCTTCTTGTCAACTGTCAACCACACAAGACTGGTTGTGGATGGGCTTGTCTATACGGATGGGGGAAAAAAATATGTTTCAAGCCACATTCTCCTTGGTCACATTGAGCCTACAGTGATCCAATTGATGCAGTGTTTCTCAATCTTTCTAATGCGGCGACCCCTTAATGGAGTTCCTCATGTTGTGGTGACCCCTAACCATAAATTATTTTCATTGCTACTTCTTAACAGTCATTTTGCTACTGTTGTGAATCATC